TCCAGCATATTAGATAGTAGTATTTAGTACCAGTGTACGTTCCGGCAATACCCTGGGGGACATAGACCATCTCAGCATTAGTATTAGTACTGACTAGTATTACTATTGCTGAGTATTACTATTAGTATTACTATTAGCTCTAGTACTATAGCCCGCGTTCATTAACTGCCGCAGGCAGTCACTGTACGCGGGCTATAGTACTAGAGCTAGATCAGTACCAGTATCACTGTCACTGTCACTGAGGCTCATACTCATAGGGTCTATGTAGAGTCTCACAAAAAGTCTCACAGTCACAGGCACTTGGAGCGTTTCAATAAACGACGTGGATATTCGTCCGAGCATCGGACACCTGTTCGTATGCGCTATTCGTCCGAGCAGTTGTTCCGCATGCGCTGCTCATGTTGCGTGCCGCAGGCGCACGACATGAGTGCCGGAGGTAGGAATTGTGAAGGGGGGGTCTGGGGGTTTCTCCTCACAAAATTTTGAAATCTAGACGCTCTAAAATGCTATTTCCAGCATTCTGAGGCTATTTTGAAAGTTTGGGGGCCCCTTTAGGCTGTGACGCCCCTGCATACATGCGTATGGGGTTATACACCATAGATAGTGTTTGGTACTATGACTCGCGTATATAAGAGATCCGAGTCGGTTTATAGTTAGTGTTAGGGATAGTGTTAGGGAGTAGGCGACTAGCATTATATTACATTTATGTAATACAACATGAACAGCGCATGCGCAACAACTGCTCAGACGAATAGCGCATATGAACAGGTGCCGATGCTGTGTTGGAGATGGCATTTACAGGAAATTGTCGGCAATAATAGGTGAAAGAGAGTATAGAAACATTAAGAATAAGACTATGGTAGTAAATAGATTTCGTATTTATTTAGCATTATATATCATTGGAACACTCCAAGTGCTTTTGCTGTCTCTCAGTATCATCATGTCACATGTGATCACAGTGAATGTTAGCTCTAGTACTGTAGCCCACGTACAGTTGCCGCAGGGCTATAGAACATTCTATTACGAATGCTAGGGACCAACCCGCTCACTGGCGCTGCTGCAGCGCCACCAAAAATGGCCGTTTGAAGTTCGTAAATAATTTTCGTTCACAAGAAATACCGCAAGCAGACCATTTCAACGATAGTTAGAGGTTAAATATTAGTAGCTGATATAACTTAAGACATATTCACTTCGGATAAGAGGCATTAATTGCCCACCACAGACGTTTTATAGCCGCGAGTAACCGTGAATAAGTTGGTCCCTAGCATTCGTAATAGAATGTTTTATAGCCCTGCGGCAACTGTACGCAGGCTATAGTACGAGAGCTTAGTGAATGTTTACTGCATGATGGATGGCATGCAACTGCATGCTATTGCTAGTCTGGGGTATTGGAACTGGAAGAGAGTTTGTGAGAAGCTAGTAAACATGTTTATGCTTAAGAAATAACAATACATGGGTTCCATTGTTATACCCTGATATGAGAAGATTGGCGTAGGTCGTGGAATTGGGCAATTAAAAATGTGGCATGCTGGATGGTTATCTGTAATCAGTAATGTTGTTATTTGTTGATTCATTTGTTGTATAACCAATTATGGACTTTTCCAGTTGCGAAGGCAGGCAAGGATGAGGAGGGAGTACCTCTATAGAAAATCTATTGAAGACAGGGAACGAACAATTCAAGAGAAGAAGATGAAATTGAAGCTTGCAGTTGATGGTAATGTGAAGTTATATATTAGAGTGATAATATTTAATTTATTTTATGATGATACTCTTTGCTGTATGGATATGCAAGTCTCTGTACATATATTTGCATTCATCCCCCAAAAAGAAGAGAAAGATTGGTCTGCTTTCAATGAACATTGAATTGAATGAATGAATGTGTCATGTCCTTCATAATAGTGCCTCAGTTATATCTGCTTATCATGATTGTGGCAGCTGAAATTTTAATGATTTCATTGCAAAAGTATCATACACTTCTCTGCAGTAATTGACAATTGTTGCACTTATTTATAAGTTCAAGTTGTCTAGAGATCATCGAATTCATAAGATGAAATTGGCTCTTCCAGAAAACACAGCCATTCCAACAGACTTGCGGAAAGACGCCATTGATTTACAGAAGTCACTGGATTGGGATGATGCCGGAGGAGAAGGTATGAACATGATTGTTCTCTGAATAAATCTTATAAAGCATAGAAAACATGTGACTGTTGTGATTTATGCTACTGTTTGCATTATTTTAGTACATCATGTCATGATAGACGTGGCATGACCTGTTATAGTTGTATATGCAGGGATGAGATTTTTCCGCAGATCCGCGGAAATCCGCGGATTTGACAGTCCCAGGGGTCGATTTTGTGAAACGTATAAATTCGTTTCCTCGCATTGCTCGCTCCTCTGTTTGCTAATTTCAATTTCAGCTGAAAATTAAATTCTCCAATCTCATCCCTGTATATGCACAGTGTACTGGCTTCATTCTCCAGGTGTTACGAGCCACATGGATGATGAATATAGGTGGGCAGGAGTCGAGGATCCAAAGATAATGATAACAACATCTCGAGATCCCAGCTCGAGGCTGAAGCAGTTTGCCAAGGTCTGTGTATAGAGAAGACATTTCACGAGTGTACATGCTTTTATATTGTGTATTTTCTGGTGCTGTGGTGTGTATACATTTGCTGGTGAGTAACCAGGATCATTCCATTGCAGGAGGTAAAGCTTCTTTTCCCAAACTCACAGAGATTAAATAGGGGCCACCACGACATGAATGCATTGGTCAGTGCTTGCAGAGCCAATGATGTGACGGATTTGATGATTCTGCATGAACATAGAGGAGATCCGGGTATGAAGAACCAGTCATACTCTACTAGTCTATGAAATGTTGTATACTATTTAACATTATATGAAATAGATTTTGGCTTGATATGTATTGGTACATAATAATAGTTGTTATTATATTGAAATAATTTTCTGATGCTATAATCAGAAATGAGCATTACTTTGTAATTTTATTCTTATGATTTTTGCTATCTTCACTATCACTTATTAGAAAGTACTGAAGGGGTTAAGATGAAAGTGAAATTCTACGTGTGAGGTGGAAGCTACTGATTAGAAGGGCTTTCAAATAAATGTTAAAAAATGTAATTTCTGTCATCTTTTCGAGACATCTATCACAGTGCAGTAATGCATATCGTCGCACCGTAGAAATTAGGTCAGAGTGTAAAGTGTAAACACAGACGTTTATACTAGTGTAACAGCAATGTAGTACTAATGCCACGTAAAGTCTGTTATTAGAGAAGCTTGTGGATTGCCAGTCAGATAGTAACACGGGAATGACAATGACAGAAAGTGCTCTGAATTATTGACATAAAAACTCAATAATATTTACCAAACAGAGTTGCACGCCCTTTTGTTTTAATTATGTGCACTTGTTTGAAGACGCCATTTGGGATTTTGAGAGTCGGGACACGATAAAATTTATTGCTGGTATGATGTGGTCAAATCAATTTTTCTATGCTATAACTGCATAAAATCTTGGTGTTTTTAATGTTGGTGTAATCGGTGATATTTCCGCTGTCAGGTGAGACTATATTCAGCTATATTTAGTTTTTCTGAGCAAAAATCTCGCAATACAAGCTTTAACCTCACCATTATGTTTTCAGACGCGATACAGATCTGCCATCTGCCGTACGGACCGACAGCGTCATTCACGTTGTCGAATGTTGTGATGCGGCATGACATTCCTGACTGCGGCACCATGTCTGAAGCTTACCCACACCTCATCTTCCACAAGTTCTCCACACGACTAGGCAGACGTGTGAGTGCGACAGCAAACTCTTCACAAATCAGTTTGTTTTAATCGCCAAACGTCACTGATCGGTGTTGCATTTCTTAAAACTGCTTATTTGGTTTCTGAGGATCTCTAAATTGGATTTCAGTATAAATGATTTTGCTTGGGAGGATCAGGATATGAAATAGGATAATCAACGCTCACGGCTAGCGATTTAACGATAGGCCATGGTCAAATTTGCTTGAGTTATTATTAGCTCATCTGACATAGTCAGATGCAGCTTGTAGAATCGCATGATCGTCCGT